TGGTTTTGACCTGGCGCAGAATGAGGTGCGGGTAATGGGGCAACCTGGTTTGCACCACACAGCACGCGCTTCACGGCGCTTTTAAAGTTTGGCAGGCGAAATGCATACAGAAAAGGATTGATGAGGGAATTGACAGTGATAAACACAAAATGAAAATCTCTCAGCCAGTGAATCAGCTCACAGCTGCAGGTATGACAGAGATTCATGAGGTAAATCATGATGCAGGAGGGAATATAACAGGACAGAAAGACAGCCAACATGATCAAATAGGTTTTAGTGAGCTTGTTTTCCATCACAATAGCTCGCTGACGTGCTTTGTTCTGCTCACTTTGGCTGTCATGCATTTGGTCAATTTGAGCAATTTGGTTTTTGGCGTATTGGAAAATACGAATGTAGGAGAAAAAGAAAATGAAGATGGTACAGAACATTGTAATGTTGGCAAAGACAAAAGCGTAGGCCACAAAGCCAACGAAGAAGAAAAGCGAAGTGAAACAAGAGGAAAAGATCCAGACCAAAGATGCGGCTATGCCAACTCGCAAGTAACTCGTGTTAGCTCTGTACCACAAAGGCTTAGTAATCGCGAGGTAACGATCAACGGTTAGCGCTGCCAGACTAAGCAAAGACGCTGTACAGCACAGAAAATACACAGATTGGGAGAACCATGACATGCTAATGGATAAACCCTGGGCCTCTCGATAATGTGTATTTATGGACAGGGGCTCTACCAAGGCCCCAACTATAAGATCTGTCACAGCAAGGTTGGCGATTAACAGAGTAAATGGACTCCGAAGATTTTTGTTTGGATCGAGCAGAACCGCCAAGATGACCATCAGGTTTCCAGGTACTGTGGCAATCACAAAAATGATGGCTATTACCATAGTCGTTATGGATACCTCTGTAGGGGCCCAGACACCCGTGCAGTGACTCGCTCCAAGCCCCATACTTGTAACCTGCAATAAGAAACGATGCCTAAGTCGCCACGTTATTTAGACGCATAAAACTCTCTTCTCTTTTAACAAGGACACTGGAAAGACTGCTTTTATTTAAAATCTTATTCAGGTAGGGTCTTTTGCTGTCTTTCTGAAAGCGTAGGGACGGAGCTGTTTAGGCCCAAATTTCGTACCTATCAACGTATTGAAGCTTTTGCAATTAAACTTGCATTTGTAGGATGTATAGCACGTCCAAAAATATTTCCTTTAAAGTCTGTAACTTTAGACGCTGACGTCATATGACGTAGAAATGATGTCATTATTTTCGGATAGCTGCCATCTTAAATCCTCTATCTTGGGCTTCATGATTTTGACAAAACGCTGAGTATAAAAATAATTTAAGCTAATTTAATCCGAGACACCGCAGGAAGGTAACAGTGTTTCTTTAATAGGAAAACTCAAAATTTGAAAAACATGCCTGTAAATTGATTCAAAGTCATTGACCAGTGACAGGTCATACCAAATTGATTCCGCTTCATAATTTGTAAAGTTAAAGCGTTCAAAGTTGGTGGTAGGACTCAAACGCTCCCCAGGTCTTAATAGGGTAAAGGTGGTTCTTTCTTAACTACAGATTTCGGACAGTTGCTAAGGGATTGCTGAAGGCGATAATTAGAGGAAAGCTGTTTTGGTGCGTTTTGTAGGTAAATTTTATATGAAGTAAAGTTTGCTTTGGAAAAATATGATTTCGCGTGCGTAACTAGTGCCAGTCCCAAACCGTGCGTTAGAATTTTAAATCCCTTAAACTTGGRAGAAAAAAGGAAGGGTTCCGATTTTTCTTATGAGTCAGAAATAACTTAGCCTTCTTTATAATCGTACGTATCGAATTACTGTTTACAAGTAAAAGAGGAAAGCTACTGTAAAAAAATCTGTTAATACGGGTGTTTATAACCTCATAACCTTTATGATAATGAAACCCATATGTAGCATTTAGCACGTGGACATTCGTAATCTATTGACAACACTGATTTAAATTTTCAGATTGAGATGCCTTTTAAGTTTTAGGGTTTCTGGTCATGTGACTGGTCAAATATGGCCGTGATTTGATATTTGATTTTTTTTGCTGGGCTCTTCAATAGAACAAACATGTGCAAGAAAGCTTATCCTTAAGAGGCCTGATTTTCAAAATGTGACGGTTAGAAACCTTCCTTAGCAACAAATTCATGACCGATTGGTAGTTAAGAAAGACGTCCTTGAGATAACGAGTTATTCAGTGCAATTAACAACCCAAAGCTATCCCAGTGAACAAAATTTAGAGTTTTATCTATAGCAAAACAAGGAGAACAAAAAATTGTAACAAGAGCAAAGTGAAAAAAAAGCAAACAATGTCCGCTCTAAATCAATTTGCCTCACAAGGACTGTGATCTTCGAGCTCGGTTGGCAATATTTTTGCTGCAAAAGTGTTACACTGTTTGATTTCATTTCTCTCGTAACGAAATCCCAGCTTTTTATGTGTCCTGCTCAAATCCCCAATTTTTTGTTTTCTTACCTCGTTTTTATCTCATCGACCAGATTTTCGAGGTTTTGGCCAAGTTCTGATAAATGTAGAATCCCTATAAAAATAACAAAAAATTACAGCAATTAGCGAACAGTAGAGCCGTGAGAGCTCAAAAACTGAGCTACAGGATCCCATTGCAAGAACAGTGTGTCTAAAACATACCATCCTTGGGTTGCACTGTCACGCAATAAAAAAAATAATTCGAGAACCATTTAGTGGATAAAGTTAGGAAATTGTGATGTTATAGGAAATTGGTAAAGAAGACATTTCTCCAAGTTTTAAGTCTGTGCGTTTTCCTAAACTTCAGATATTCGTCGAACTAGTTTGCACAAATTTACAGGGCCCAGTATGGAGCCGCCATGTTGGTGTGTCTCCGTGGGACACCAACATGGCGGCCGGAAAATAGTGTTAACATCTGGAACTTACTTTGTCTATCTAGGCGACTGATTATCAGTACTGAACAAACAAGCATTTACATAAGCACTTTTCGTAATATTTTAACTTCTGACTAGGCTAAAAATCACGAGATAAGTATATATTTTTCGACAAACGCTTTCGTAGCTTTATGTCACGCACCGCCATAACTCTGAAATTCAAAATGCGCTGGTTTCCAGACGAAGCAAGCTACTGAGCTGAAAAGTTATAAACAGATATAAATTTACCCCCTCTTATGCCTGATAAGGATAAAAACTTTGGTGGCTCTTTAGGTTTAGA